AAGAAGAAGAAGAAGAAGTAACATATCGGCAGTGTTGCCAGTATCAGGTTTTCAGGTGTTAGTCAAAGAGGAGCAGGTTTATCGGACAACAGACACGGAGACCAAATAAAAAGGTAAGTGTTTTTATTTACAGGTGATAGGGAAATGTACAGGGAGTCCAGGCTGTGGAGGGAAAGGAAGAAGGTGAGTATCCAGGTAGGTTCTTTCATTTAGGAGGAGCTTGGAGGATATAATAATAATAATAAGAGATCTTACAGTTCTAGGAGGCGAGCGAGACGTAGAGGAGAGGGTTCAAATCCAGGGTAAGTATCCAAGGTGAGTACTTTTCAGGTAGGTGAGTTTTGCAGTTGTTTTCAGGTTGAGCGTTGGAGGCAGACAGACAACAGCGTTGGTTTCCTGGTGAGTAATGTTGACAGATGCGGGTGGTTTGCAGGTCCAAGAATCCTTAGGATCTTCAGGTGAGTTTCAATGAACACAGGGTTTCAAAAACACAAGATTAATAACTTCAGGATCAAGGTATAAGACTAGAGGCTGAGGAGCTTTACCCATAGGAAGCGATGTATCAGCGATGACCTGCTCACTGGACCCGCCTTAAATAGGAAAAGCCACCAGGAGGACTCAAATGAGTTGCAGCTGTGTCAGTTGCTGATCCAATTAGTGGCAGAGATTGACAGATGCTTCATATCCAAGCTTAAAGTTTTGTTTTTGGTAAGTAATTTAAATTTTGGCTAAAAGCAAAACACTCATATACTCATTCATAAAATAAGCTAATTTTAAGTGTATACCTTAGAGTGTAATGTTTTATAAGTTATATTTGTTTATGTGCATGTTTTATGATTTATGTTTTTATTTATTTCACCTACGTAAGACAACAGATGTGATTTTAATAATTAACTAATAGACCGGCACATTTATGTTGCTGTATAAAGCAAAAATATGAAAAGGTCTGGCACACCAGATAAGCCTCATTTCAATACTGAAATATTAAAGTGTGCATCACTTATTTGATATATCAAACTAAAATAATTGATCGAAATACCCAAAGACTTGGAGATGCAAATAATTAAGATTATCAGGGGTGACCAAACTTTTTTATATGAGTGTATTGATTAGGGATGCATGATAAATTGGCATTAATATCAGTATCAGCTGATAATGGTCATTTTTTAGAATATCAGTATCAGTCCGATATGTAAAACTGGGCCGATATTAACGTCCGGTATTGATTTCCCACTTTTTAGCTTTGTGTTTCTGTTTTAGGAGGGGAGATGGTTGGGAGCGGTATCTGTTTGATCATGATAGTGATATTGACGCTGCGCAGCCAGGAATAACTGAAGTAGGGAGCCATGTCAGAGTTTTTTTTTTTTTTTACGGAATCAAAAAAGACCCAAAAGTGTTTGTGTGTGTACAGTATAAGTATACACACATAAACACTTGTGCAACATTGGTAAATATCGGTTATCAGCCATAACAGCAATAATCGATATCGGCTGAAATTTTCATGTTGGTGCATCCCTAATATTGATAAATGTGCACAGTCCTTTTTTTTAAAGAAATGTGTAAAAATACAGTAAGTGTCATGATTTGTCAGTTTTCACCTTGGTTTTCCTTGTGTTTCTATGTTCCCCAGTGTGTCTCAGCCCAGCTGCCCCTTATTTGTCTGATTAGTCACCCTCGTGTTTCTAACCAGGTGTTCTCAGTTTGTCCATTAGTTGTCAGTGTATTTAAG